TTGCCGGATTACAGAGTGGTTAGGTTAGAATACACTTAATAAAATTAACCAATCTGACTTACACAAAGTTCATTGAACATCGGCAAAAATCGAACATTTCCACTAATTTGAGCTCAATTTCAAGGTACTTTCCATCATGAAACAATCAAAATCATATCTATTTCTGTAATATATCTTGAATTCTATCAAATGAGACAAAAAAAACGAGAATACAACCATAAAACCCATACAAAAATGTACCACAAAGATGTGGCTAATGGCTGAGAAGTGAACTCCCTTATTTATCGTCTGTCTTTTTTATTTTTGGTGTACGTTAAGAAGCATCTTTCCATCATACATTGCCCCAAGTTTCAATGAGATAGCCCAACAAACAACTGAGAAAAAAACAATATTTACCAAAAATCATGGCAAGCCCAAGCCAGGTACTGGAAATAAGTCCCTTTGTCTGACTTTTTTGGGTTATCCTAGGTTCTCTATACATATGCTGCTATGTATGATAATCTATGTAACTGTATTTGTGTGTAGTACCTGAATAAACTTACTTACTTACTTCTAGTCTGTCGACTGAGTACAAGAAACCGCCCATTCACCTATTTCAACTACCCAATAAATTGGTGAGAAATTGGAAATTTGGCCAATTTCACAGATGCCAATTTCAAAATAGGGTCCAGAATAGACAATGCAGACATTCCTGGCACTAATATAATATTTTATCTGTTCATTAGTCATGGCTCCAGGCCCCTCTTATATTACTCTTGCTTACCATTTGGAATTTTTATTCACACAAAAAAATAGAAGATTTACTGTTATGCAGACTACTGCATTATTGTAATAATTGTATAAATAATGTCAACCCATTCTTGACTACGTATTGGAATTTGGACTGGCAGGCGGACAGGTATTGAATGGTGACGTCATTTGTTTACTTGAGCATTGCTAAAGAACAGAACTTTTCTGCTACTGTGAGCACAATTTCAAGGTATTTTTCATCATGAAAGCAATCAAAATCATATCTATTTCTGTAATATATCTTCCATTCCATCAAATGAGACCGAAAAAACAAGAATATAACCATAAAGACTATACAAAAACATACCGCTAAATGGCCGCCAATGGCTGAGAAATAAACTCTGCTATTTATGGTCTGATTTCTTTCATTTTTGGTGTACATTAAGAAGTATCTTTCCATCATACATTGCCCAAGTTTCAATAAGATAACCCAACAAACAAATGAGAAAATAACAATATTAATAATAATAATAATAATAATAATAATAATAATAATAATATAATAATAATAATAATAATAATAATAATAATAATAATAATTTACTACACGTATATGTACAGCAGACCCCCAAGTTTCATGATTAATCCGTTGCAGAGAGCCTGCCGAAAGTCAAAATTCATGAAACTCGAAACCATTTTCCCCATAAGAAATAATGGAAATAAAATTAATCCGTTTCAAACACCCAAAAATATTAAAATAAAATATTTTTTTCAAATTAAATGAAGATTTATATACTGAAATTAATGAGAAATCAAGTAAATACATATATAAAATAATAATAACATTACATTTACCTTTGCTGAAGACTTCTAGGTGGATGGAAGACGGGAGGAGGGGATAGGAGGAAGGTGTACACTATTGTTTGGAAGGAGAATCTCCTTCCATTAGGACTTTAGGTAGCAAGTCCTTATCTGGGCTTACTTCCCTTCTTCTTTTAATGCCACTGGGAACAACTTGAGAGTCACTGGACCCCTGTCGCACAAAATATCTGTCCAGAGAGGTCTTTTTCTGGTGTTTCTTTAAGATTTCCCTGAAGTGGGACACAACACAGTCATTTTACGTGTTGCAGATATGGCTTGCTACAGCTTGGTCAGGGTGATACTTTTCAACAAAACTTTGCAACTCATTCCACATATGTCCTTAATCACTGAAGAAGGAACTTTCTTCACTCTCTTTTCCTCCTCCTCTGAAGCAAGTTCCTCGGCTGTGGTCTGATGCTGTTCCAGTTGAAGCTCTTGCAGTTCGTCAGTGGTTAGCTCTTCCCTGTGGTCCTTCACCAACTCTTCCACATCCCCATCACTCACCTCCAATCCCATGGACTTGCCCAATGCCACAACACCTTCCACAACAGGCAGAGGGTCGGCAGGGACAGGGTCTGCCTCAAACCCTTCAAAATCCCTCTGGATCGTGTTCCTCACTTTATTTACCAAAGGGCTTGCACTAGCTTTCCTTGGGTCCATGATGACTTATTTAGCAGTTGCAAGCACAAAAAACAATGGATTATTATGAAATGTATGAACCCGCGGGGTGATGGTCACGTGTTGGCAAACAATGGCACACTGAGCGTGAATGGCGTGGGAGACTGGCTTGGTGTGCGTGGTGATGGGTGGACAGGTACTGGATGGTCGCCGAAACACGAGTCTAATCACGAAACTCGAGGCCAAATTTTGCCAAAAAAACTTGCCGAAGGATGAATTTCACGAAACTCGATGCTGCCGAAACTCGAGGGTCCACTGTACATGGTATACAGACATAGCTGACATCAGTGACATACTGCTATATAGAAAGCCACTTGTTATGCTGAGTATTTCAAGCAAATTAGGTCAGTGTCCCAGGATAACACCCACACCAGTTGACTAATACCCAGGCACCCATTTATTGATGGGTAAACATAGACAACAGGTGTAAAGAGACATGCCCAATGTTTCTACCCTGGCTGGTAATCGAATATTTACCAAAAATCATATATGGCTAACCCAAGCCAGGTACTAGAAGTAAGCCACGTTGTCTGACTTTTTTGGGTTATCCTAGGTTCTCTACACATATGCTGCTATGTGTGATAATCTGTATAGAGAAAATAGCTTTTTTGTTTCAGGTTTACGGTACAGTACAAGTGTATATCACAGTTAGCCCTGTGCTACACTCCGTTTTCTCTAATATAAGCCCCCAAGACAGGGATAGGAGAATGGTATTTGTATACCATGTCCTCTTCATACCTCCATCGAACTGCTCGGTATTATGCCAAATATTATTCATTCTGGAGTATTTAACATGTTTTATGTTATTTGTATTGTTTATTATGTCATATTAGATCAACTGTGATAGGCAATAAGCTATAGTGCTGATATTAGCGTAATAATAAAGCATATTCTCCTGTATCACGAGACTGAGCTCATAGCAACCGACAGTGGCTTCAAAGCCACCTTATCTTTAATGGACAATGTACTGTGTAGGTACTTTACACAACGAAAAGCATTTCTTTTATTCATTGGAACCATGGCTAGGGCTAAAAGTAAGCAGGTTATAACAGTAAATGGAGAAAAAGAAATTAGAATGACTTATGCAGCAAGTAGCGCCACCAAACAATACCAGTAGGTTGGTGTGGTGACCTTGGAAATTTGAAATTATACCAGCTGAAATTAGTGTTGAATAACTGAAGGAACTGAATAACTAATTGCCGGATTTGTGATGGCGGACCTGTATCTAACACTACCAATAAATCTACCAATTACCTAAATCTTAAAACTTCATGACTAGACAACCAAGCTCATATATTGACAAATTACCACATAGAAGTATACATACCTACCAAAACCAGTACTACCCTTCACTAAATTGTAGCAGTCTCATACTGTAAACTACTAAAAACTACTCTGAATCAAGTTTCATAAAGAGCATTGTTGAATACATGAATATATCCTTTTGTTTGTGTAAATTAGATTCACTTATTATTACTAGAACTACTGTACAACTATGATAATTTCTTTAGTGATAAGTAGTCAGTAAGCCACTGAAATAAGTCGGCCCATAATGCTAAGGCATAATAGAGGCTCTCTTTGCACTGCAACCCATCAATGTAAAAATATAATCTCAATGTACTACTTGCAAAGAAATAAATGAATCTGAATCTTATATTATTAGGACCCACATGTGTCCATGTTTGTTTCTTTCTCTTATATTACGCTTGCTTTCTATTTTGAAATTTTATTCACAAAAAATAAAAGATATACTGTTATACAGACTACTGCATTATTGTAATAATTTTATAAATAATGTCAGCACATGTGTGAATGTGTAACAGACAAACCAGTTGGATATGTATTGGATGAGTGACATAATTTGTTTTCTGGAATATCAGCAAAAATCGAACATTTCCACTACTTTGAACTTAATTTCAAGCAACTTTCAGTCCTGAAACCAATCAAAATCATCTCTATTTCTGTAATATATCTTCCATTCTCTCAAATGAGGCCAGAAAACCAAGAATACAACCATAAAAACCACAAGAAAATACACCACAAAGTCGATGTTTTAAACAAAAAACATGGTCCTTTTTTTTTTTCATTATGCACTGCATGGTGCAGGATTTTTTTATATGGTGCACAATTACCACACTGACCCATTCTTTCATACCTAGGCCCAAATTTACTGCTCACAGCTTATCTGAGAGAGCTGAGCTCATCATGTACAGCAAAAGGACTGATCTGTGCTTCAAAGCCATAGTACAATGGGACCCACCCAGAAAGACTTAAAGGTTAAAAATGACCTAGAGGACATTTTGGTTATAACCTAAGTAAACCTGATGCCATTTGCTTGAAATGAGAACGAAAAATGAGTTGAAATAATGAGGATTTCTTCAGCAATCATAAAGATTCATCTTGCATTTTCTAAATACTTACACAATCTTTTCAACAAACAACATTTCATATTTTTTATTTAATCATAATTACATTCAGAAAGAGAAAGAGGAATGTTGATATCCTATCCTTGTTACAACTTGAGTGCAGTTTACAAAATAATTCAGAAAAAGCTGTTATAGTATTACAAATGTCATGTACACACAATTAAATTTAAGTTCTTTCTGCAATGAATTAATCTTGTTACAATGAATTAATCTTGTTAACAAACCCATCTTTCAGTAAACTTTATACTTTTCATGGGGATTAACTCTATCCTCAACGTACAAAATTACAATTAATTATGCACTCACTCTGTCTTTTCACAGCTGAATGGCAAGAGGTCCTCACAACCCTCTCCATTTGGTCCGCTCGCCTCAGTGAAATTGTCAGCCTCACAACATCCAAAGAGGGAGTTTTCACACAGAGAGATGCCTGGGCAGCCTCTGTTGTCAGGGCCATGTGCTGGTGTTGCATCATCTGGACAGCAGCCGTGTACTGTGTCCTTGCAGGTCTCAACACGTGGACAGCCTACATTCCAGAAAAGTGGAATATTAAGTTCCATCCTTTCAGATGCTCAAATTATGTATGATAAGTTGAAAGTGAATATAGATAAGAGTAAGGTGATGAGGGTATCAAACGATTTAGATAAGGAAAAATTGGATATCACACTGGAGAGAGGGAGTATGGAAGAAGTGAATGTTTTCAGATATTTGGGAGTTGACTTGTCAGTGAATGGGTTTATGAAGGATGAGGTTGACAATAGAGCTGATTAAGGAGAAAAGGTGAGTGGTGTGTTGAGGTATCTGTGGAGAGAAAAAGCTTTATCCATGGAGGCAAAGAAGGGAATGTACGAAAGTATAGCGGTACCAATACTCTTATATGGGCGTGAAGCTTCGGTTGTAAATGCTGCACTGAGGAGGCGGCTGGAGGCAGTGGAAATGTTCTGTCTAAGGGCAATGTGTGGTGTAAATAATATGCAGAGAATTCATAGTGTGAAAATTAGGAGGTGGTGTAGAGTTACTAAAAGTATTAGTCAGAGGGCTGAAGAGGGGTTGTTGAGGTGGTTTGGTCATTTAGAGAGAATGGAACACAGTAGAATGACTTGGAGAATGTATAAATCTGTAGGGGAAGGAAGGCAGGGTAGGGGTCATCCTTGAAAAGGTTGGAGGGAGGGGGTAAAGGGGTTTTTGTAGGCGAGGTGCTTGGATTTCCAACAAGCGTGTGTGAGCATGTTACATAGGAGTGAATGGAGATGAATGGTTTTTGGGACCCGACGAACTGTTGGAGTGTGACCAGGGTAATATTTTGTGAAGGGATTAAGGGAAACCGGTCAACCGGACTTGAGTCCTGGAAATAAGAAGTACCTGCACTTAAAGGAGGGGTTTGGGATATTGGCAGTTTGGAGTGACTATCTAAATTGTCGTATCTGGGCACCTCTGCAAAGACAGTGATGATGTATGAGTGATGGTGAAAGTGTTTACTGATAATGAAAGTTTTTTCTTTCTTTTTGGGTTTTTCTGTTTTTTGGGTCACCCTGCCTTGGTGGGAAATGGCTGATGTGTTAAAAAAAAAAATTAATATAACTGGGCATTCTTCCTAGGAACTTAGTGAATACCATATGTATTCCAAAAATATTAAGGAAGTTAAGATTATATCAGTTACTGTATATACCATAAGTAAATTATAAATACTGTGTAACAAATACTGTAATATAAATAAAAATACACAAACACATATACAGTGCTAGTCATGGCGTTATGCCGTCCCTCCCCCACACACATACCAAAGCACAAACACATACCATGAAAGATTATAATATATATATTTGCACACTTACTGAGGTTTTAATACTTTGTGCTGCGGCCTTTATGCTTAATCATATCCCTCAGCCGTGTAAGAAGACTCTCACACAAATTCTTGAGGGTTTGGGAAGGTATATTATTCCATGCCTCATGTAGAGCAGCCTCCAGCGATGGGATGGAACTGATATTCTTGCCCAGTAAAATTGTTTCACTACTTACCAGAGGTTCTGAATAGGGTTTAGGTCTGGGGAATTGCCTGGCCAGTCATTAAAGAACCTCACTTCACAGTCCTTAATCCAATGAACTACAGATCTGGCAGTATGACATGGTGCACATTCCTGCATAAAAACCGTAGCCCCACACTTGTCAAACGCCTCAGGTGAATTGTCACACAATAACTCCAGGTAGTTATACTGGTTCATATACTGGTTTTTAGGAAGCACAATGAGTTCATCAACACTCTGAGCACTGAAACGCCCCCAAACCATGAGCGAGTCTGGGCGTTTGGTGGTCCCACAGGTGTAGTGTGGGTCTAGCAGGTCACTACCTCTGGACCAGTACACATGTCCCTCACAGTTACAAAGTACTTCAGACTACTGTTGAGGATTCCAGTGAAGATATTTCTTTGCATAATCCAGCCTATGTTTCTTCTGTGGCTTGAAGAGGATCAGTTTCTTAACATGGAAGTGACTACTGTAGCCCAGTACTGACACACGTCTGTTAACATGTGGGTTTTCTTTTAATTCTCTAGGTGTACTCTCTAACTACTTCTTTAACACAGTTAAGGTATGAACAGATGTCTTCTTCGAGGGGCCAGGCCGAGGTTTGGCAGACAGTAACTTGACACCACCGCCAGCCTTGAAACGCTGCACCCAGTTCCTCACTGAATGCTCACACACACACCAACATTCTCCACTATTTATTTCATCTGGTGCCCAGCTTTGTGAAGCCCTATGATTTGAGCTACAGTTTCAGGTGTTAAAGAGTACTGAGGAGTCATTGTAGAGTGTGGCAGCAGGCCGTGACATCATGCTAACAGCTGCTACCCGGCATAATGCACTGGCGAAAAAAGCCCCCCCTGTATGGTAGGCCTTTGATTTTCGTCACGGCATTATGCAGGGGAACTCACCCAGCATAATGCCATGACTAGCACTGTGTGTCTGATAATTATCAATGAAAAATGAATAAAATATTTGGAAAGTTATTACCAAACATTTAAGTTTTACAGTAAACTGGACATATAAAATTTGGCTTAAGTTTTATAAGAGTTATGGAATTCATAGAGAGAGAGACAAATACACTTACTGTGTTATTTGCTTTTAATAACATGTTTTTATGACATTTATACATTTTAATTTATTATCATAATAAACAGCAGTACCTCCACCATTATTTACAGGTCAACAATTGTGCATTATTGTACTATCTTTTTATCCAAGTTTTCATCAATCCTAGTCAATCGTCATCATTATTTTTTTTAACATGCTAGCCGTCTCCCACTGAGGCAGGGTGACCTGTAAAAAAAACACTTGCACCATCACTCACACTATCACTGTCTTGCCAGAGGCTCACAGATACAACAGTGTAGATCTCACCAGAGACAGCAAATATCCCAAACCCCTCCTTCAGAGTGCAGGCACTGTACTTCCCACCTCCAGGACTCAAGTCAAGCTAATTGGCTTCCCTGAATCCCTTCACAAAATATTACCCTGTTCACATTACTATTTTTTTTTTTCAACGAACCAACCATATCCCACCGAAGCAGGGTGACCTAAAAAGAAAAACGCAAGTTTCTCTTTTTTAAATTTAGTAATGTATACAGAAAAAAGGGGTTACTAACCCCTGCATTTTAGTCACCTCTCATGACACACATGGCTTACAGAGGAAGAATTCTTTTCTACTTCTCCGTGGAAATAAGAGGAAATAAAGAAGAACATGAACTATTAAGAAAATAGACAAAAATCCAGATAAGTGTGTAAATATATATGCAAATGCATGCATGAGTAGTTTATGAGACAGAAAAAAGACACCAGCAAACCTACCATCATGTAAAACAATTACAGGTTTCCATTTCACACTCACTTGGCAGGACGGTAGTACCTCCCTGGGCGGTTGCTGCCTACCAACCTACTACCTAATATGTTATTATTATTATTATTATTCTTTCTTTCTTTCAACACACCGGCCGTATCCCACCGAGGCGGGGTGGCCCAAAAAGAAAAACGTAAGTTTCTCTTTTTAAATTTAGTAATTTATACAGAAGGGGTTACTAGGCCCTTGCTCCCGGCATTTTAGTCGCCTCTTACAACACGCATGGCTTATGGAGGAAGAATTCTGTTCCACTTCCCCATGGAGATAAGAGGAAATAAACAAGAACAAGAACTAGAAAGAAAATAGAAGAAAACCCAGAGGGGTGTGTATATATATGCTTGTACATGTATGTGTAGTGTGAGCTAAGTGTAAGTAGAAGTAGCAAGACGTACCTGAAATCTTGCATGTTTAAGAGACAGAAAAAAGACACCAGCAAACCTACCACCATGTAAAACAATTACAGGTTTCCATTTCACACTCACTTGGCAGGACGGTAGTACCTCCCTGGGTGGTTGCTGCCTACCAACCTAATGCCTAATATGTTGTTATTGTTATTATTATTATATTAATTATTTTTGGTAGTACAGTGGACCCCTGGTTATCGGTGGGTTTGGTTATCAGCCAACTCGGTTATTGGCGGGTTTTTTGGAACCTGGTTATTGGCTGTTTTGGACGCGTCTCTCCGCCGGCTGAGGCAGCTTGCGCTTCAGTTTGGCTTTGTCTCTCAGTGGCTGAGGAAGCTTCTGCTCATACATCCAAACATTTCACTTGTTTCCCATTGTTTTTAGTGGTATTTCTTGCAGTGCAACTGTGAAATAAGTAACCATGGCTCCAAAGAAAGTTGCTAGTAAAGTTCCTGTGGTGAAGAAAGTAAGAAACACCATGGAATTTAAGCGTGAAGTGATAGAAAAGTTTGAGAGTGGTATGAAGGTGGTGGAACTTGCCAGGATGTACAGCAAGAATAAATCAACAATTACATCCATCCTGGCAAAAAACAGAACAAATCAAAGATGTTAGTGTTGCAAAAGGAGTAACTTTTCTAACTAAACAAAGCCCACCAATAATGGAAGAGATGGAAAAGTAAAGGACCCCAATGGAAATAAGTCACTCTGTCTGACTTTTTTGGGTTATCCTAGGTTCTCTACACATGTGCTGCTATGTATGATAATTCTATGTAACTGTATTTGTGTATACCTGAATAAACTTACTTACTTACTTACTTATTATTATTGTGGATTAAGGAAAAAGAATTAGTGGTAGACAGTGTTGTGGAGTCTATTGTTTGTGAGAAGGCAAACCAGTTGCATGAGGATCTTGCAAAGAAAATCCCTGGAACAAGTGCTGCAGTTTGTGAATTTAGGGCCAGCAAAGGATGGTTTGATTGATTTAAGAAGCGTAGTGACATACACAGTGTTGTAAGGCATGGTGAGGCTGCAAGTTCTGACAAATGTGCAGCTGAAAAGGATGTTCACGAATTCCAGGACTATGTAAAGGCTGAAGGATTTGAACCCCAACAAGTGTTTAATTGTGACGAAACAGGCCTGTTCTGGAAGAAAATGCCAAACAGGAAATACATTACCTAGGAGGAAAAGGCACTGCCAGGACACAAGCCTATGAAAGACAGGCTTACTATTGTGTTGTGTGGTAATGCTAGTGGGGATTTCAAAGTGAAGCCTTTACTGGTGTATCACTCAGAAAATACCAGTGTGTTCAAGAAAAACAATGTCATGAAGGATAGACTGTGTGTGATGTGGAAAGCTAATCATAAGGCATGGGTCACAAGGCAAATTTTCAAAGAGTGAGTTAATGATGTGTTTGGCCCAAGTGTGAAAAAATACCTCCTGGAAAAGAAATTGCCATTCAAGTGCCTATTGGTACTGGACAATGCTCCTGCATATCCTCCAGACTTGCAAGATGAAGTGTTTAGGGACTTTAGTTTCATCACAGTGAAGTTCTTGCCTCCTAACACCACTCCTCTCCTCCAGCCCATAGACCAGCAGGTCATTTCTAACTTCAAAAAACTCAACACAAAAGCAGTGTTTCAAAAGTGCTTTGAAGTGAACTTGGACACTCAGTTGACCCTAAGACAGTTCTGGAGGAATCAATTCACTATCCTCCATTGCATAAGCCTTATAGGTAAGACTGAACTCTGCTTGGAGGAAAGTGTGGCCAGATTGTGTCCAAGAGAGGGATTTTGAAGGGTTTGAGGTTCACCCTGACCCTGACCCTGCCGACCCTGTGGACTCTATTGTGGCACTGGGGAAGTCCCTGGGGTTGGAGGTGAGTGGCGAGGCTGTGGAAGAGTTGGTGGAGGACCACAGGGAAGAGCTTACCACTGAAGAGCTGCAAGAGCTTCAACTTGAACAGAAGCAGGCTGCAGCAGAGGAACTTGCTTCAGAGGAGGAGGAAGAGGGAGTGAAGGAGGTGCCTTCTTCAGAGATTAAAGAGGTCTGTGCAATGTGGACCAGGGTGCAAGCTTTTGTAGAGAAACACCACCCTGACAAAGCTGAAACAAGCCATATCTGCAACATGTTTGGTAACAAAACCCTATCCCACTTCAGGGAAATCTTAAAGAGATGCCAGAAACAGAGCACTCTGGACAGTTATTTTGTGAGACAGGGGTCAAGTGACTCTCAAGCTGGTCCTCCCTATCTTCCAGAAGCCAGCATTAGCCTTCAATAAATGTATGTAATACTTACATAATCGTTAAAAAAAATGATTTTTTTTTGTGAATATTTTTGTTTGGAACGGATTAATTGTATTTCCATTAATTTTTATGGGAAATATTAATTCGGTTATCGGCCATATTGGTTATTGGCCGACCTTCTGGAATGGATTACGGCCGATAACTGGGGGTCCACTGTAGTAGTATTGGTATTATTATTAGTAGTATTATTAGTAAGATTTGTCTTTTGTTTCTCTTTACTTCAACTTCTGTATTATTCTCATAAAAATATACAGTGGTCCCTTTAGTTACAACTTTAATCTGTTCCATTTAGATAGAATGGAGAAAAATAGGATGACCTGGAAGGTGCATAAATCTGTAGTGCTTTATTATTTTATTTATTAATATCATTATTATTATAATAATAATAAATGTTTTTTCCTATGACAAGAGTGATCTAGGAGTGTTTCCCCTGATGTAAACACCATTTTCTTTCGTTATAGACCAGAGATACAGACGAGAAAATGTATCCATCTTATACTAATCTTATCCCAGGGCAGCAGCCTCCACCTCTACCCCATTCACATAATGTGGCATATATTATTCATTTCAGAATCTTTATTACAGTTCTAGGGTATTTATCATGTTTCTGATATCAATTTGGAATAAATATAATAGATAGATAACCTTTATTACTAATATTAGCATAATTACACAATATTTTATTAGTGCCACGGCTAACAACTGACGCCCATGATGACTAACCAGATACTGAATGCTACTGCTCACCTCTTCCTCTCTCATTTAGTTCCTCCCACTTCGAAATGATGTTAGATGACAAATTTAATGTATTGACAGAAAAATAAAAAAAAAAAATTAAAAAATCAGAAAAAATTCTTAAAATTCACTACATGTTCAGATGTATATTACTCACCGTGTCATAAAAATAATTTTTGTAAAATGACTATAATTCTTTGTAGAAACATGATACAAAGATGATACTTATACTAAAATGTTGCCAGAGTCTTAAGCTATTTTTCTGCAAGCTTAATCTGTATGTGCATTTTACTTTTTTATTGTTTTCTGTAATATATAAGAGTTCTGCAAATTAAAATAAAGTTATCAATTTGGAGTTTCATTTTTATTTTATTTTTCCTTTCTAATATACAGTGGTACCTTGACTTACGAGTTTAATTCGTTCTGTGACCGAGCTCGTAACTCAATTTGCTCACATATCAAATCAATTTTCCTCTTTGAAATTAAGTGAAATGCCATTAATCTGTTCCAGCCCCCCAAAACCACCCCATTTTTTTTTGTTACGGGTTTTTAAATAAGTAAAATGTATCTATAATAAGAAATATTGTATACTCCACCCACCAACTTCACTACTACACTTACCACCCTCACTACTCCACCCACCAGCATATCTACTCCACTCACCTCTTTCACTACTCCACCCACCACCATCTCTACTACACCCACCACCATATCTACTCCACCCACCACTATCAGTACTTCACCCACCTTAATTAATGCTTCTGGAAAAACTCTTGAGTGCTGAAATGGAGGTTACCTCTTCCCCAGATTTATACGTGAACCAAACAAGGGATGAGGTGCCTCACTACAATCTGAGATTAGTGTGGGAGTATTATCCTTCCAGTTATGTCTTGGCAGAACATGTAGGATAGGAGGAAGTACCTGGGCACAGAGTTGGATTGACTTCAGATACTTCGCCAATTAGTAGTGGCGTATCTGAAGCTCTCTCGTAACTCAAATTTTGGCTTGCAACTCAAAGCAAAAAATCGACCAAGCAACGGCTCATAACTTGGAAAACTCGTAAGTTGGGGCACTCGTAAGTAAAGGTACCACTGTACTATTTAATTCACAATTTGTCATCGTTACAAAGCGGGCAGAGCTATAGCAGAAGGAGAAGGAGCAGTGTCTCAGTAACTCATGATGGCCCGTGATGTGTGGAGAGGTGTGCCCAGTGGCGTCGTAAGGGGGGCGGGGGGACCCTAGGTGACACCATTTAGGGGGTGACACCATAGAGCCTCTAAAGAAGGTGACACTAATGCACAAAACAGTGCTGCAGCAACATAAGAGAAGAATACTTCATTTCTATAGCCTATTATATGATTACAGAGTACAAATACACCTATATAGAGAAAACCATTGATTTTGATAATGTGATAGATGATTTTGCAAGATTGAAGGCAAGAAAATGTAAGAACAGATTCACTGAGATGGTACCTGTACTCAAGGTCAAATCAGAACTAGTTTTTCTCTGATATTGCACTGTTTTCTTTACTTTTCAAGTTTTTTTTTTTTTTTGCACTGAAGATGAATAAATGTAGAATCTGTTGCCTGTACTCAAAGTGATATTTGAGTTTGTTTCCTCAATATTACTATGATTATTTATTTATTCATTAACAAAGTTGAGAAGTAATCTCCTGTTTATGGCCCTTAAACGTTCTCATTGCTAAACATTAGTCACTGGTCATGCAGAAGTGACGTAACTGGAGTTTACTCCCTCCATCCCCCCCATCCTTGGATTTCATGGGGTTACACCAAAGATTCCGCCCTGGGTGACACCAAAGATGCCACCCTGGGTAACAACAACCCTAGCGACGCCTCTGGGTGTGCCTCTTGGCACTATATAATATTGTATAATTATACTATTATGATCAATAAAGATTATCTAGCTATTATATTTGTTCCAGAATATTAGGTATAACATAAATAATGTAAAAGCATTATAAAGACACTCAAATTAATGAAAACTGACATTATATAGAGAGGTATGGAAGGGTAGAGGGCGGGGAGGGATTAAAAAAAAAAAAAGTGAAAGTGACCATTACAGAACACAACAGTTTAGAAGCATATACGTATAAAGATAAACAACATATCCCTCCCAACTGCTAATATCTTAATTTCACTTATTCAGGAATCAGAAGTGACTGGCTGGCCGGCCGCTGGCGTAACAGTGAAAACAAATAAAGCCAAAGCAGTGCACGCTCATCAAATGCCACCACAGTAGAATGACACTCATCAAGGAAACATTATTATTATTACTATTATATATTGCTTGGACCTATATACACTATGTATATATTTCTAAATAATAGTATGTAACTAAGGTAGGTGAAAATATTCACCTGCCACTATGTTTGTGACTATCTGAGTACTATTTTGGTACCTAATATAAGTGTCAGAACAAAGATTAGCTATGAAATCACAAGAACTACTACAAATTGTGATTATCAGAACATAAAAATTATACAAATTAAAAAAAATGAGAAAAAAGGTATATCGGCAACTTCTGCAAGTGGCAGTTCTTCATGTTGCCGTCAGGTGAGCGACGAGCGCCAACTTTGCGGTCTTGTATCTCTAAAAAAAATTTTTATGTTACTTTATGTAAAAAAAAATGTCCTCTTCATTAAAAAAAAAAAAAAAAAAAAAAGATTTTTTTTCTTTCAAAATATTCGGAGAGCTGGGCGAGAGAACGCAGATCTACATTTGGGCACTTAAGGGGTTAAAATAAAAAATTACCTTTTTGGAAGGGCCCACTAGCAGGGGTGATGCCATCTTGGCAGCAACCAAACTCTGTAGCCTCACACACTTCTTTTTCAGGTTTAGGCTTGGACTTGCACTTTTTAGATTTCTTAGTAACTTTTTTCTTGGAATCTAAGAAGAAATAAAAAGTTTTATTTATACAGGAACTAACAATTATCATGCAAATTAATTAAAACGATATATTCAACAATGAGGCAGCAAACATACACACAAGTGAGGTGGTGTCTCTGAGAAATATAAATAAACAATAATGATACAAAAAAGAAATTACCGTATGTGGTGTTTGTGAATGATACTATATTACAGAATAAATAAAGAAGAGTTATTAAGCAGATTTATTAAATATTTAAGAAATGAGCCGCATATGATGTTGAAAATAACTGCAAACAAGTGCAAGGTTCAAGGTGTCTGAATGGAGCAATGCATAATAAAAGATTATTTTGATTTCATGAAATAAGAATTTGGTGTAGTGGCAAAAAAACAAAACTTGCAAATACTAAGAAATTATATGAAAAAATTAACCCAAATGAATGAATAGGAGGTTCAAACATTCTTTGCAAGAGAGGAAAGGAATTTACAGGAACATCATGTTAAAATGTTTAAAATGAAAGAAAAAAAAATGAGAAAAGCTAAATGAGATTACAAAACTGAAGTTAAAAGGAAATCAAAGTCATCTCTGAATGGATTCTTTCATATATATAGGATGATGATCAGAAAAAAATGGGCGTCCATAAAACTAATTTTAGACAGCTTACTGATAATGAACAGGAAATGTGCTCTCTTTTTAACAATTATTTCTTGACAATCTTTACACAAAAAAGACACACAATATCACAGCAATTATTTATGATAGAGGGCCCGAAGAAAATAAATTTAGTACTTTAACCCTTTAAGGGTTTCTGACATACTAGTATGTCTTACGCGCCAGGGTTATTGACGTACTAGTACGCATAAATTCTAGTGCCTTCAAATCAAGCATGAAAAGGCTGGTAGGCCTAGATGTGAGAGAATGGGTCTGCATGGTCAGTGAGCACACTAGGAAAAAAATCAGGCACCCAGTGGTGCATTGTGGGAATGCCATTTTAGTACACCTTGTTCACCGTGCCTCGTGGTAAGAAACACCTCACTCCTCGGCAAATTGGGACATTTTTGTTCCCCAGTGGCAGTTCTATTACAGATGGAAGTGTCAATGAAGATGAGTTTCAAGGTTTTGATGAGGTTGTGACCGAAACTAATGACCATAATACCATAATACCGGTAATAGTGAGGAAAATCCAGATAACCCTCAACCTTCCACTTCTGGAGTTGGGCCATCTTCTTCACATTCAGCTGTACCAGAACGAAAGAGGAAACTCGTATTTTCCCATATCCAGGACTCAGATGTGAGCAATGGTGATGATAGTGATAATAAATATGAACTCCAAGTTCTTGAAAACAGTTCCAGTAGTGAGAGTAAAGTGGAATATTCTCCAGTGAAGTGTCAGTATATACGATGCTATATGCGCTCTGGTAGTGTGCCATATGCTATTCCAAGGGAAAGGAGTATATCTCGGAGTACATCTCGTGGCTGTACAATAGGAACAGATAGTGAAAATGAAGATGATAGTTTGCAATTGGGATGGAAAATGTGCATGCATCTTGTGGTGGCAGTGGTGGTGCCAGCCGTGAGGCACCAGCAGTGGGCCATGCTGCTACCCATGCCACTGACTCAGCTGAACTACAACAAAGGCCACCATCCCCCACTCACCCACCACACCAACTTCCACAACCACAACCTCCACAACCACCTGTTAATATCCAGTACCCACCAGCAGACCACACCTGGGACTCGCAGGAAGCTGACAATTTTGTTCCCAATCCCCATCACTTTGATGAAAGTCAAAGTGGAATATGGCGATCTTGTACACTTGGGAACAATGCCACTGAACTAGAATGTTTCGAGTTATTCTTGACGAACCCCTGATGGAAATTATTGTCAGGGAAAGCAACAGATACTTCGATTACACCAAGGTAAACACAATACTTTCACCAAAATCATGCCTACACCAGTGGAAGAAGACAACTGTGGCTGAGATGTATCTTTTCCTTGCCACAATAATGCTTATGCCACATGTGTATAAGCACAGTGTCAAATCATACCGGTCAACAGACCACCTGATTACAACCCCAGGTTTCAGTGATATAATACGAGTGAATCGATTTGTGCTACTATTGCGTGTGCTGCACTTCTCAGACAAAACCAGGCCTGACAGAAACGACAGGTTATATAAGATTAGGAATGTGTTTGTGTATCTGAAACAGAAATTCAACATGTATTTTTATCCCTTCAGGAAGCTTGTTATTGATGAGTCTTTGATTCTATTCAAAGGCAGACTGTTGACCAAGAAGTATATACTAAGCAAGAGGAAACGCTTTGGTATAAAGTTTTTTGTGCTTTGTGACTGCTACAGTGGTTTTGTATTAGATATTATTGTGTACACTGGAAGTAATACATTGCATATACAAGGAAGTTACTGGGCATCTCTGGTGATGTGGTTAGAACAATGATGGAACCATATCTTGGTAAGGGGCATATATTATATACTGATAACTGGTACACAAGTCCCTTACTCAGTGATTTTTTGCAAGTGAACATGACAGATGTGTGTGGCACAGTGCATGCAAATCGTAAGCATATGCCCAGGTTTGACGCTGGCACTCGTAGAGGTGAGGTTCAGGCGTTTGATACCAATGACATCATGGCATTTCGGTGGCAAGACAAATGAGATGTCACACTGTTGTCATCAGTTCACCTTAACGAAATGACAAACACTGGCATGCAGAATAGAGAGACCAATGAATCCATTCTAAAACCTACAACTGTGATGGACTACACCCTCAATATGTGTTCAGTGGACAAATGTGACATGCAGATTGGGTTTGCTGATTGTGTTTGCAAGAGTTGTAAGTGGTACATAAAACCCTTTTTCTATATTCTGGACATTTCCATGCTCAATGCTTATAATATGTATAAGATGAGGTCCAGAAACAAACAACCATTTGGCAAATTTTGTTTGTCTGTCATCAGACAAAGAATATTCAAGTACCAAGGAACAACACCTGCAACAGGAAACCACCCACTAAATTATCAACAACTACCTTCTCATCTGAGGCCTGGTGATCACTTCCTAATGAAACTACCTGCTACTGCTTTCAAGAAAAAGGCTCAGAAGAGGTGTTACGTCTGTGCACATACAAAAAAAATGCCCACAACAATGCAAATGTAGTCCCCATCTTTAAGAAAGGAGACAGAAATGAAGCACTAAACTACAGACCAGTGTCACTGACGTGTATAGTATGCAAAGTCATGGAGAAGATTTTCAGGAGTGGTGGAGTACTTGGAGCGGAACAAGATTATAAATGACAGCCAGCACGGATTCATGGAAGGCAAATCCTGTGTCACAAACCTACTAGAGTTTTATGACAAGGTAACTGAAGTAAGAAATGAGAGGGAGGGGTGGGTTGATTGCATTTTCTTGGACTGCAAGAAGGCCTTTGACACAGTTCCTCACAAGAGATTAGTACAGAAGCTAGAGGATCAGGCACATATAACAGGAAAGGCACTGCAATGGATCAGAGAATACCTAGCAGAGAGGCAACAGAGAGTCATGGTCCGTCGTGAGGTATCAGAGTGGGCACCTGTGACGAGCAGGGTCCCACAGGGGTCAGTCCTGGGACCAGTGCTATTCTTTGTACGTGTGAATGACATGATGGAAGGGACAGACTCAGAAGTGTCCCTGTTGGCAGATGATGTGAAGTTAATGAGGAGAATTAAATCAGATGCGGACCAGACAGGTCTACAATGAGAAATGGACAGGTTGGATGCGTGGTTCAGCAACTGGCTCCTAGAATTTAACCCTGCCAAATGCAAAGTCATGAAGATCGGAGAAGGGCAAAGAAGACCGCAGACAGAGTATAGGATAGGAGGCCAAAGACTGCAAACCTCACTCAAGGAGAAAGATCTAAGAGTGAGTATAATACCAAATACATTGCCAGAAGCACACATTAACCAGACAACTGCTGTGGCATATGGGTGCCTGGCAAACCTGAGAATAGCATTCCGGTATCTCAGTAAGGAATCGTTCAAGACTTTATACACTGTGTACATCAGGCCCATACTGGAGTACACAGCACCAGTTTGGAACCACACCTGGTCAAACACGTCAAGAAATTAAAGAAAGTGCAAAGGTTTGCAACAAGGCTGGTTCCAGAGATAAGGGGAATGTCCTATGAAGAAAGGTTAAGGGAAATCCGTCTGATGACACTGGAGGACAGAAGGGTCAGGGAAGACATGATAACGACATACAAAATACTGCGTGGAATAGACAAGGTGGACAGAGACAGGATGTTCCAGAGATGGGACACAGAAACAAGGGGTCACAATTGGAAGCTAAAGACTCAGATGAGTCAAAGGGATGTTAGGAAGTATTTCTTCAGCCACAGAGTTGTTAAGAAGTGGAATAGTCTGGCAAATGATGTAGTGGAGGCAGGAACCATACGTAGTTTTAAGATGAGGTATGATAAAGCTCATGGAGCAGGGAGAGGGAGGACCCAGTAGCGGTCAGTGAAGAGGCAGGCCAGGAACTGAGTGTCGATCCCTGCAACCACAATTAGGTGAGTACAATTAGGTGAATTACATGAGAGACACTCTTTTATATGTGAGGAGTGTAAAACACCACTGTGCATGACACCATGTTTCAAAGATTTCCACAGGCTGCAGAACTTCTAGAAACATGTCCTGTGACTGTATATGTGTATATAAAATATAGAAAAATAGTAATAAACAACATTTTATATTGTTCATTTGTGTAAACATATTTTGTAAACAATATAATGACAACAGTATTTGTGCAGTTATTGTGTAGTATAGAAAGAGTAAATATTTACAAAATAGTCCTCATATTGGTCTTGCAGGCCATAAAAGTTACTTGAAAAGAAAAAATATTAAAAAATAATAGAAAAAAGTAAAAAAAAAAAATGATTACCGGGTGACTGGCAGTCAGCGATGTTGCCGTATGCAGTTCAATTTCTGTCAACTTCACGCCTCCATATCTTGGTAAGTATTGATAGCA